GTTAATAACCAGTATACCTGACTCTTTCAACTTACTATAAATTTCTTCCGTGCCTACACGTTTACAGTAAACGATTGCATAAATATTACGTTTATAGTTTAAAAGAGTCTTCTTAAGCTGGTTACGAGTTATTGCGTTAAAGTTATTACTACGGTGTCAACTAATAGAGTTTCTAACGGCGTCGTGCCAAATAACAATGTCGCTTCGGTTTAACAGATAGTGATCGAGTTGATACTGACAAGTTTTACGGACGTTTACTGCGTTATGGTTGAAACTTAACCCGGGAATGGCTATGCACGATTGAGATAGACGCTTATGCGAAGCGGGTGAAAGCATTTTCAAAGCTTGGTGCAGCGAGCTAGCAGCTAGAATGAACATTAAATGAATTAAACCAACTTTAGAGGAAGGGAATCAAGCAAACCGCGACCTGACCTCCCGCAACACCCTGAGCTAACAAGGTTGTAGCAAAAGCTAAGACAATTTGCTTGATAATACGCTACGGGTCTCGACTACGGCTACTTTTATTCAATTGAACTAGTTTAGCTAGCTGCACCACGTTTCAAGAAAAAACACTGCATTTTTTCAGAAACTTTTTTTTCGAAAACTTCGGTTTTTTTTCGAAAATTTTGTTTTCGAAAGTTTTTTTTTCCACGTTTTCACCCAACGGTTCAAGTTCCAACAGAAACCTGATGCGTTTGCCAAACTTTGAAGTTTTTTGCTTAAAAAGTCCAAAATTTGGGCAAAAAACTCGACTCGGTCGTTTAAATTAATTTATTATGAAACTAGGCGCTTTGCTGAATAATTTGCAAAACTTTAAAATTTTTTGAAAAAAAAAAAACAAAAAATTTTCAAATTTTTTTCTCAAAATTTTCTGGTCTTTTTTTTTGATACGGTGTTGAGCTTACAAACACGGTGTTAGGATAACGTAATTAAGGTTTATGAGGCCAGTTTTTTCATAAACCCACAGAAAGTTTTCTGATCAGGTTTTGGTATCGAGGAAAATTGGGGGTTACAATTTTGCCATCAAAAAATCTCGTATCAGAATTTAGAGCATCAAATCAGCAAGCTAGCACGAATGGATAAAGTTTTGGTTTTTTAGTCTTACAAGTTTTGTAGAGGCGTTCACCGGTAGATTCCAAAATCCACAGAAAACTTCGGGTGTCGAGAAAAAATCACCAACACGATACCTGTAAGAAGGTCTCTACAAACACAGCATCTACAGGCGGTACTTGTAAGAAGGTCTATACAAACACAGCTTCTACTGGCGATACCTGTAAGAAGGCTTTTAATAACAGTCTGCCTGCATGCGATACCTGTAAGAAGGCCTGAGTTTCTTCTTGTCGGAGTGTTTTTATTTTCTTTCTTAATCTCTTTTTTCGAAATCTGCTTTCCGAATTTTCAGACTTTGAAATTTACTTTTCCGTTACTGCTCTTCTCTCACCTTTCGGTGCAGATGTTGGCAGTTTCTGTGATCCCAGTGCAGCCTCCAGATATAAAAGAGCTGTGGTCTTCTGTCCTCAAACAACAGCTGCTGTTCGCTTCTGCTCGCAAAGGTAATGGAGGAAGAGAATTTTTTCCGAATTCGATCAAATTGGAGTTCTCCTGGAATAGTCGCGAAGGTGTCCGGGAATAGTTTCCACGAATATTTCTGGTCCCTGGTTTAAGTCTGGGTCGGCGGACTAAAATGTGGCGCACTCTCGTATCCTGTAAGATCTAAAAAACCTGCTTGAACATCTGTAAATTATCGGCAATTTAAACAGATAATATGACAATAAATATTATCCGAAAAAAATAAGGTAAATATCTTCGGGTTAACATGTTATCAAAAACGTTTTTCAACCATCTCAAAGTATTCCCAGATAAGTCGTGATTCAATCAAAGTTTTTAAAATTTATCGTCTAAACATTTAGTGTCTCGAGCAAAACCGGTATGAACGCTCTGCCAGTTCAGAGTCAATCCCGCGAGTAGGCAGAAAACAAGAGGAACAAGAAACTTTTAGCTGAGCAGTAAAAAAGTGTTTTTTTTTGTGAAAAACACTGTTTTTGAAAATTCAGTAAAAGTTTTTCCAGAATGAAAAACAAAAACTTGATTCTGGAAACTAAGTGGTGCTTATAGCATTTCTTTAAACATTTAATATCCAAAAATAGTTTCGCTTTTCTTAATTGTTTTGAAAAATTTACTGTAATGATTTACGGATTCTTGCTCTAAGCTTCCTTCTAGTCGCTCTGTGCAGAAGGTAACAAATTTTTTCTGTTTGCTGTAGCGCTTTTTATTGTATGATGTCAATACGTCAATACGTGAGATTCAGTATATTTCTTTCTTTGCTTTGTAAATAAATTTAACAAAAACTCTGCCCAGATAAAATTACGATACGATTTCGTCGTTCACAATAATCAAGAGGTCAAAAACCTCCAAAGTCTAGGTGTTATTATGTTGTTGTCCGTATGCTGCTTTCATAGTACAAAAAAAAACTTCAAGGAATTCCAGCACCTCAGCATTAACTCATTTCTTCACGGAAAAAATAGCGGTTTGAAAATCATTGGAAAAATATTGCAAGCTAGCACTCTACAAATTGAGCCAGAAGCCTCTAAAAATAAAAGAAAACTTTCGAAAAAAATCAGTTGAAAAAAAACTTGATAATTTTGTCTGGAACAACAATTTTCAGTGTGAAATGAATTTTTTTCTATTCAAACTACGCGAAATTGAGGTGGAAAAACCCATATCATTTAGATTAAATACAGCTTGTGGCGCACTCTCGTATCCTGTAAGATCTAAAAAACCTGCTCCAACATCTGTAAATTATCGGCAATTTAAACAGATAATATGACAAAAAAGTCATCCGAAAATAATAAGGTAAACATCTTCCGGTTAACATGTTATCAAAAACGTTTTTCAACCATCTCAAAAATCTGTAAACATTTTTGATGGCAAACTGACCTTAATCGGACAAACCAGTAGTTTCAAGGCCTTTTCTCTAAGAAAATCTAATTTTAGCTTTTCACTTTTGCGCTATAATGACGTCATTAATTCAAGCGAGAAAACAGCTTTTAAGCAAAAAGCAAAAAGGGAAAAAACTCATAAATTTACAATTTACAGGAGAAAGTTAAAAACTCTTACAGATTTATACAGATTTTATATGGCAACTAAGCCGTCAGCGCATAATCAGACAAAAATTAGGCCGACAATTTTTTGGTGATGGATTATTTTTTAGCATAATGCACAGAATGTCTCAGCTGGGCTGTAAATGCAGTAACCTAACTAAAAATTTCAACAATTTGAGTTAGTCAAGGGAGCTCGTTGATAGGTTGCATGTATTCTTCAATAATTCAAGTGCTTCTACTGTACTGTTTGTCAACCCCAAAATTTGAAAAACCCAAAAACATTCGATTGAAGATTCAACCTCTCATATACAAGCAGAGAAACAAAAATTCAAACGCGTTTTTTCAACCTTTCGACAGTTTTTCAAAATTTATTTCTTTACTATCTGGTTTACGTCTGAATTTAAAGTGGTAGCTAATGTGCTACCACCTTCATTCCTCAACGTGCTTTCTTTGAGGTATTCGCACAAAAGCACAACAAAATTATCGTCGTGCATTCTTCTTAATTCAGGAAGTGGACGGAATGAACATTGTCACCAGACAGTTTTAACAGTCTCAATAAAATTAGAAAGTTCTCAATCAATTGAAAAAAAAAATTAATTTCAAAAAAATTATATGGCTTTACAGCTCTTTGAATTTAAAAAAAAACTTGACTGGTATTTTTTCAAAATTATTCCAAGGACAACTGGAGTGTAAGATTGTATTCCAATGAGAAATCGTAAAATCTAATTCGAAAATAGAAATCGATCACGTTTTTTGCGTCATCTCCTCTTTCGTATATAGAGAGTGAATTTCGCCTGCCTTTGAGCTAATGATTGCACATCTGTAGTTAGAGCATTTTAAGGCTTTTGCTGAAAAAAAACGACCAAAAAACACCCCGATTTATATAAGAATCTGAAGTACGTTCATCGACTCTTAAAACATAGCCAACTGACAGTTGGACAATAGTAATGAGCGCAAGAAAACTGAAAAAAAACTGGCTTGTTTTTGAAAAAACTTCAAATTTCGAATTTAAAAAAAAATATATATGCCTTCGAATTTCTCGAACAATTAATGATTGGTGCTTTTTTGATTAAAGTAACCCAATTTGAGAAAACTTCATCATTGATCAATATGTAATTTTTTTTTGTAGCTGGCGAATCCCATAATTAGGCTTCATTTTCGAAGCTAAAACTCGATCATTTTCGTGCTCTTTACGCTTTTCTTGTTCGATACTGCAGTTTGCCTTCCTTTCAACAAAAGAAAAGAATTGAATTCAAAAGGAAAGCAAAAGTCAAACCACGAAAAATTAAATTTGAAACTAAACAAATTTTAAGACTGTTCCTGAAAAAAATACGAATACAAAATCATCACGACCTATATAAGAGTACTCACTACAATCTTTACTCTTAAAAACTAACAAACAAAAGCACCAAGATCTATAGAGTCACGACGTTCATTACTATTAAAAAACAAGTGATTGATTTTTTATTTTTTCTAACAAAATATGTATGGTCATATAGCTTTGCTTCTCAGGCAGATTTAATGGTTGACACAATGCTCATGAAAAAGACCCAATTACGGAAAACTGGAACAATATTTTATCCGATGAAAAATTTTAAAAGATCCATTTTTGAAATTAAAAGTTGTTTTTTTTTGTGCATCAGCACTGTCGTAATTGGATAGCGTTTTTTGCCTATCTTAGCAAAATAACTTGAATTGAAGTTACAAACTGCAAAATATCAAACTTGTCGTGATCAAATTTCAAGACTTCGTGTAAACACCGAAATCAATCACTTTATTCATTGCCTATTATGAACCTCATTTTGTAGGAATAATCACTCTCAGTATCATTAGATTCTAAAATATATCTGACCGCTTACTTAATTGAACGTAACTGCTTCCTCGGATCGTCAAAATTGATTTAATATATCAAAATTTAAATTATGCTACATTCCATATAAAACTCAATCAAATAAATTCAGTGAACTAAACCGATTGCAGAGGCCTGTAGGCAAACTTTGCGTTCGACTAATTAAAGCATCGCATAGTGAAATTTCCAACGGGAAAAAGGGCAATATCACCAATCAACCCGTTGAACAAATGAGTGCTGAGCACTGCAGCGCAAGTACTAAAATAAATACAATTTCCAAACTATTACATTGATTGAGCTAACTAATAAATAAAAATAATTTAAGATTGTGGTTAGCTTCTTGGGTTTAATTGGAAGTTTTGGCTCGATTTAAGTAGCAGATCATTTTATTGCACTGGTTAAGTAGTTAGTGCACTTTTCAGCAATTAAAGCGATGATTCGTCACTTGATGATTGAAATTGATTGACTTGGTTGAGAATATCAATAAATTAATCTATGTCAATATTTACGCTTCTTTCGATGATGGAAAAGGATCATTGCACTTTTCATTTGGCAGTTATTTTTTGACCATAGTTTTTTATGTGCATTAAAAATAATTAATTAAGCTAACTGAAAATTGATCGGTTGGTCTAAGAAACCCATAAGACTTTCAGTTAACTTCACTGATTATGATTAAAGCTTTGATTCATATTTTACAAACAAGCTAAAATTTACAAAGAATTGTAGTTTTTTGGCACTGGTATTCAAAATTTACAGAAAAGGATTTATTGCAAAGGTCAAACTGGGAATGATGTTTTTGATTGAATGAAATAAACTATCAAATATCTATTTGAATGTTAATTGGCTAGTTTAACAAGTGAGCAGCACCAAGATTCAATCTTGATACGAACCTGCAACTATGAACGAAAAGACAAATACATGAAATCATTTCGACAAACCTTCAGTGATTCACACTCGGCACTCACAAAAAATTCAAACAGTCATACATAAATCATATAAAAAGTTGTGAAGCTAATTTTACAAAATTTGCTGAAACGCAGTAAATAATACAATTGCCAAATTATACACAAAAATAGTTTTCTGGTTGCAAATGTTTTTCCCTTCCAGGCGTAACTTCAATCTACATTGACATAACTAGGTTTAGTGAACCCAAGTTGGAAGCTTGAGGCGGGGTTGGGTGGTGTTTTAATGACATATTCATGACGTCGGAAGCTCTCGCCGCATTTGAGACACTACTAAGTTGCGGCCTAGTTAAATCTAGGAACGAAACTGGAGAGAAAGATCTCTTAACTGACATATTCATCGCATCAGAAGCTTTGCCATTTGAGACACTGCTTAACTGAGGTCTGGCTAAATCTAGAAGCGACACTGGAGAGAAAGACCTCTTAAATGACATATTCATAGCATCGGAAGCTCTGGCATTTGAGACACTGCTTAATTGGGGTCTGGCTAAATCTAGAAGTGATACCGGGGACGAAGATCTCTTCATGGCATATTCAGAGCAATGGAGAAGTGAAGGCGGTTTTGGGCTTGCATTTCGGCTAAAGGCCAAATCAATTGGTTTCTGATCCACATCAACTTCAATATCCTCGCCTTCATCACGATCAGTCAATCGCGACCCGTTTGAAAGAGTGGCTAAAATCGACGATGCTTGCTTCATTGCAACTTGTTTCGCACTCGGTGTGCTGGGACTGGTGAACTCTTTTTTCAACTTGTCTCGGATCAGCGACAGTTCATGTGTCTGAGATGATGCAAATGAAGCGGCCGAACAAATCGGGGCGTGAGGCTGTACCATTGACACTCCACTCAAAATAGGCATGGGTTCTCCGTTGACTGATGTTGTATCAATCTTGTGCACTTGTCTTATATGACGCAATAAAGTGTGGTTCCTCTTGAACGAGTGGCCACAGTAACTGCACTGGTATGGCCTGTCATTCGAGTGACTCACATGATGACTTTTGAGCAATGTCGCGTCTGGGGTCTCGTATCCACAACCATATTCACAAATCAGTGATTTCTGACAACGCCTAGGAGTAGAAGTGGAGTTGTTTGATGAAATTGATGACGTTGGGCTACTTGATGCGTTAGTTGTGCTGTTACAAACGGGTGACGCGTTGTTAGCAACATCTGAGCTTGTTCCGTTCGAGGAGAACGATGACGTTTTTGGTTTAGATGAAAACAGGTTTCCATTGCTAGGCAACGACGCTGGGTTAGTGGCTGTTAGCGATGCGATCAAAGATGACAATTGGTGAGCGTTACTGTTATTTGAATTAGTCATGTTGTTAGCTTGTTTAGGTTTAGTTGGGCCCGAGTTACTGTAGCTTACATTTTGAGCGGCAGTCAGTAGATTTCCTCCTGAGAGAAAGTGCGCGGCGTTCAGGAACCCCAACGTGGCAGCATTTTTGGTGGCGTTTTGGAAGTTTCTGGTAGATTGGTCTGTTTGTGTTTTGGTCTCCTTGGCAGGTTTTGGTGCATCCTTGAGAAATCCTTGCATGATTATATCGTTCAGAGATTGGGTGTATTTCAAGTTATTGCAGTCATCCAGCATTCCAAGATGGCTTGGAACCGGCCCTGAAAACAGAATACACATATTAAGTTAAATTATTATTTTAAAAAATATATATCAGCGTTTGCTTAAAAATATTAATTTCATTTATGCCGTTTTATTTAAATTTATCGGACAAACTGATGAGAACAAAACATGGTTAAAATTTTGCCAGAATGAATATGGTGCAACTAATTTGGGAAATTCGAGCCCAAAATTTAACCCCAAAAACGGGTTCGGTTTGTTATTTTTATCATACGTTTTTCGCAACTATTGGAGATTATACCATACTCTTTTTTGAACTTTGGAGGACTACAAAGGAGGCCGCTAACTATAATATGATTAGCTCACCAATTGATTCGATAGTTTGAGCCAAAATTTTGATTGACTAAACGGAGGCAAAATGATCTTTTTTGACTTAAAAATTTGGGGCCCAACATCGCAAACTATTTATTATTTTCAAACGTGTTTCTCAAATAAGGTTAAATTGAGAAACAAAGTGCTTAGTGGTCAGATTTAAATTTCTTTCAGAAACTTCAGATTTAGGTGAAGTTTTAAGAAAGTTAAATCTGACCACTAAGCACTTTGTTTCTCAATTGAACCTAATCTGAGAAACACGTTTTGAAAATTCCCATTTTGTTAGTTTTGCCCGGATTATTTAAATCAGCCCTGTACAGTTTTATCCGTTTTCTTTGAAAATAAACAGTCTTTTTCTTTTCAGACATGATTTCGAGGTTTTTGCTTGAAACGACGTTTCACTTTTTTCAGACAAAAAAAAACTGTCAAATACCATTTGAAAGTTGAATTGCATTTGGTTTTCTCTTTTCACCCAAGTCAAACATGTTCATTTAAAATTCATAGATAGCAAACTTTTTCTTAAAAAGGCTCTCTCATTTCAATAAGAGATCAGTCATCCATTAATTCATATTCATAAGAGATAACTTTGGATAAAAATCAAAATGGAATTGAACAATGAAAACTTATTTAGACACAAATTTAAACTCCAATTTCCAGAGCTAACCTATAATCTACCTACGCATAATTTATCCATACCGATTCAGGTATTTCCCTTTGCCTTTATTTATCCCAGCAAAATGGATGAGTAATCCCAATTACTCTAAAAATTTGGCAACCCGGTAAATTTCCCTTGCAACTATCACAAATGTATGTTATATTATAATAGTTATATGTTTCGGATCCATCTGTATTTCCACTGGGTGGGATGAATGAAATATTCTCCGGACGACGGCATTGCGCGCTTCCAGTATAAAACAGTGGAAAAGCGTCCAAATAGTCAAAGCTATACAGTTCACTAATTCGCTTCGTTTTCCTATCTACGTGCTGCAGCACCAGAGTTGAAAAAATGATAAAACCGGATTTCATTTCCTTTGGAAACGGCAACAGGGGAATATGGGAAAATTTCGGGTGGATTGCGGGGGGTAAAAGCAACGAGCGTCGTCGTTTGTCGAAATGGACCCAGCGCGTGATTACTTTTGGGTTTACTTCAGCAAACAGGAAATATGGAAAAACGAAATGAATTACTGAGCACACATAGTGCGGGGAAAAGTGGGAAAGAAGGCAAACACAAAATAGCTTGAGGCAAATGGGAAACGGAAAAAGTAAGGGGAAAGAACCTTTCTATTGCGCAACCGAAAGCAACCCAAAGCAACTAACTGATGCCCTGTCTTTCTCTGCGCCGCAACTACCTAGCTGAGCCAAATCATCAAACGTGGAAACGCGGCCAGAGGCCAAATTCAAACAAAAAGGGAAAGAAAAAAGAGTAAAAAGGCTTTTGTCGATTTCCCACAACGCAACCACGCACTTAACCAACTAACCAAACTAGCACTAAAAAATAATTCAACCTAAGTGATCCGTTCCTTTCAAGTTTCCACGTTTTGTGAGCGTTTATGGCAGAATTGTGCTGCTTTTATTTTTTTGCCTACAAAGAAAGGAATCTGCACTTTTGCGCAATACGATAACTACTATCGGCACAAAAAAGCACTCAGCGTGGGGTAGCAAATCCTTTCAGAAACAGCTTCAGTTTTACCAATCAATTGCGCAAAATTTCATTCACATCTAACGTAGAGGTGATAAGGTTTGTGCTTTGTGCACAGCTCACAAATGGGTCGAAAAAGTATTGATCGGTTGCAAAAACAACTGCTGCTCTTTCAAAAGCGATTTCCCACCGCGAACTCATTGATTGTAAACTGGTTAATCACGCGCTAATTTGGGTGTTTGTTCAAAGGTCAGGCAGGCTTCACCAGCTTCAATATCGACTTCCAAAAAAAATGTCTTAAAAGCCCAACAATTTTGAGCTCCAAAATAATCATTTTTCACCACGTCACGGAGAAACTCTGGTGCCCGAAAAGGGACGACTTTTTTCGCCCGATTTTAGCTAAATCGAAAAAAAAATTCAGAAGCGGTATCACATGAAAACCCTTTTTAGTCATTTGAATGTTCGAAAAACACTTGTGTGTCGAGAAAATCCACTGCTTAAAATTTTAAACTACTAAAATAATAGCGGATAGTGGATGAAATTCATTATTCATTTACAGGACGATCTATTTGTTTTCTATTTTTACAAGGTATAAATGGTTCATTCTATTTTAGAAATATGTTGATTTTTGCGGGCCCAAGTAAAATTTCCAGTTTTTTTCAACTTTTATTTGCCATAAAAAATTTGGCCCAGATATTCATTTCTTTCTCATCATAGCCTCTCCCAATCATAAAAAGACCTATTAAATAAAATTTAGAGGTCATAATTTGGTGGGGTGGGGGGTTTAATGACAAACAGCTGGAATTTCTGACATTTGTTTAAACAGAGGGATGTGGTTGATAGAAACTAAAAACAAAAACTGACATATTTTGATTTAAAACAATTCACCTTAATTTTTCAACAATAAGTCAGAACAAGACGGTTTTTTATCTGATTTGGTGTTTCAAAACAAATCGTAAGATTTCTTTTCTAGAATTCGCATGCAATCAAATTAACAGAATGATAAAACTTAAACAACAATCGGTTGCTTTGCTTGCTTTTTGTAACCACTACACTCATAATGAATCAGGGATGATGCTTCAAAAACTTTCTCAGTTTCATTTTTTTTCTTCAAAAAACCAATTCCTGTTTTTGCTATCGAAATGATTCAACCCGCACCCCTTTTCTGATGACTAAGCGTCCCAATAAGTGACAGACAGCTTACCTCTCCTCCGAAATAAAGAATGATAACTTTTTATTTGTTTCAAAACTGACAGCTCTGATAACTTTTTTTCCTCACTTCTTTTGTGTTTTCAATGCTAACTCGCTTTAATTGTCACAAAACCTGTCCAGAAAAAAAACGCATTTTTCCTCGGGAAAAGAAGATTTAATTGAGCGTTGACGGCGTTTTCAAAGCAATCCAAAGAAATAACATTTAGCCAGTTTAGCTTTGATTTTTCCTTTCGCTTGAAAAAAACCTGGACAATTATTTCCTGCACTCTAAAATCACAAGCCACAAGATTTGAGGAATTTAAACTGCCTTTTGAAAAAATTCACAGCGTGCAAAATTTCTCTAAAACTTTGCGGTTTTATATTTCAAAATATGGGGGCTTTTGTTTCCTAATAACATAATTGCTGCAATTTCGAAATCAAAATCACTGGAAAACAATTTTGGAGTGCGTAATTACTGTCAATATGATTAGAATCCCAATTGAATAGAACTTTTTGAGGAATTACGATGCGCTATTTAGTTTTATGGGGATTAAAAATGTTAAATGATGCCAAAGTTTGAATTCTTTCAAATATTTAAATAAAACACAACGCAATTAAAAGCTTCAGATTGAAGCGAGTTTATCAAAAAATCGACTCTTATCCTTAGCTTGAGCTAATTAAGATTCCTTCAAGTCTAATAACTCAGGAATTTCAAACTATTAGCAATCATTAGAATAAAAAACGAATCAACAATAATTGAAAATAGCCTCGATTTTTTCTTTTAAATTGTTGAAATATGACTCCGGAACCAATTTCAAGTAAAATTATTCCAATTTTCTCAGGTTTCAAAGGTTAAAGACGCAAAATTCAATGAAACGTGAAATTTCAGCTGCTTATAGCTTTTTGAGAGGGTTTTGACTCACGAATTGAAAAAGAAACCAAACATGAGCAGCAAAAACATTAGTTTCAAATTAAGAACAAATAAATCTCCAGGCTCTAGTTTGTTATTATAACAAAGGATGTTTCTTGGCACCTGCTTCGAGCAAAGAAATGGACTCTTGCTCCGAAAAATCTCGGCACTTAAGACATTGCTGAAACTGCACTTACGAAATTGCATTAAAATTGAGGACAAAAGAAAAACTACGCAGTTTTCTAAAAATGTGAACTATAATTTATCCTGATTCCTACACAAACTTTCCATCTTTAAATATTAAACATTCACCTATCTTTTTAAAAAGATCATTTTAAGACAGACTTCTCGTTTCAGGAAGAAAAAACTCTTAAGAATCATCGGTAAAAAATAGCATTAATTTCAACAACAGGAGGGGTTTAAAATGGAGCTTAGCATTAAGACAACGCTGGGGTTTTGTATCAATCTCATCCTAAAGCGGGATTCGCAAACTAGCAAATAAAGCGGAGAGCACAAATGAGCTTCTAATCCCTTCCTGATAATAATGAAGAAAAACCTTCTCAATTTACAACTGAGAAAGAATGAAGTTTTTTCTATCGAAATGAAGCCATAAAATGAGAAATATAACCTAATTCACTTTTTCAGTCTTGGGATTCTTCTGCTCTTTCTAACACAGTCGGAGAAATCTGTTAAATTATCCCTGCTTTCACAATTTAGTCTGATGATCCAAAACTTGCATCAGAAAAGATATAAAACATCAAAAAACACTGTTTTCAATGGAACAAAGCAGTGAATAAATACCTACTCTGCAAAGCGATAAAACTTTTGAAACATTTGATATTTTTTTATCTGGCATGATTTCTTGATTAAGTATTCTTTATCTTCCAAATTGAACTCCATCTTGCTAGTTTAATTTTAAAGCTTTCTTTTCGCTGTCAGGAACATTTCCCTTCTTTGGTTATGATTGTAATATAAGTTATAAACTGTTCAGTTTTTGCTTCATCGTTTACCCTCCAAATGTCGCTACATTTGACGTATAAAGCAGAGAATTTTAAACTGGGGGTACGAAACAACGCCGCCACCATTAAACATTGCATACCAAAGCAGGGAAATTGCGCAAGATTTCAGTGTTTTATGTTTAACCTCGTTTCTTTTTTCCTACATTCAATGGTAAAAAAGCCAAGCTTGGTACAATTTTTTATCGGTGGCAGAATAGATAAACTACAAAACACTGAAAAAAAAAAAACGAAATACTCTTTGGATATCACGTATACAGATAGCGACATAAAAATTTCAGCCTGCTTGGTGGTTTAAATCGACACACGGAAAGAAAACGGTTTCCATTTATAAACTAGAGGGAAAAATGGGAAATTGTTGGGGGTATAAAACAAACCTAGCTGAAAAAAAAACACGGGTGAAAACATAAAAACTGAAGCTGAGTGCCGTTTCTATAGCAACGCTTGGATACAAAATTGGGATATAACTTATCTTAGAATTATACTAGGTCGAAATAGTCAAACAAAACTGCTATTTCTACTTATCAATTCCATTCTTTTTTCTTCAAAGCCCGGGGAATTGAACAGTGGCAAAACAGTCCGGATAAAAACTGGCAAATATTTTGCCCACTCAAGCGAAATACACAAGCGTGTGGGAAATGAGTTTCCCAAAAACAAACAAACTAATCAATTGAGACCTTTAAAGATGTTCTCAAAATATCACCTGATTGATCGGATATTGCCAAAGCACAACTACTCAAAAAATTACAATTAAAGAAAAGCATACAGAAAAACAAGACTTCTCATATCAGGGCAAAGTCCCGAATGTTCCGACTGCCCTTTAATTAGTCTCGTATAGTTTTGGTAAACCAAAAAATGGCAAAACTATGAATTTAATGCTGAAAATATCAAAAATTGAATGTTGCAATTTGTTCCGTGTATGGAGTCAAAAAACCAATTAGCTGACTCAATTCATTTGGAACGATTTTGTAATTCGGGAGAAAAAAACAAGCAATTTAAGACATACTCATGTCAGGTTAATATAGTTGTGCGCACACTCGGCTAGCACCATGCACCCCCAGAGATCGATCCCCTGAAGGACCAGAGTTTGGTAAAAAGTGGTCTGAATAATAAAAAAACGAACATATATATTCCTCACTTTCTTTGAAAGCCGGAACAAAAATATTTTTCGAAAAAGCCACTGATTGCCTCAAATAAACGTTCGCCTATAAGTTCACATGACTTACTTTCACTTCAATAATCACATGATTTTATGGCGTTTATTTTGTATGAGTCAAAAATAAGATCAGTAAACTTCTAATTCAAATTAATATCGAAAACTTTAATTCCGTTACGTCATCTAATCTACTCGTTCTACAAATGCGGTTTTTCCCTCATTTGGGAATTGAATTCTCCGTCTATCAGCAGAAGCGCATTTTGCATTGGAAAAATCTTGGGGCGTTGGAAATGGACACAATAAGGGGCAAATCAAATAGAAAGACAAAGAAGTGCAACTAACTAGAATACTAGCTCGATTATGATTACATTGGCTCAGGCATCAGCCTTGTATTTAATACATATGAGGGACGGAGTTGTAATACCGAATGAATCATGACAGGTAATAGTAATCATATTGGGGATTCTACTAACTAATACTAGCAACAATAGCCTACTTATGCAAACCTTATGCCCTGAATCTCCCCTCATCTGATATGGAAAAATGGAGCATAAACTTCTAATCTAATCAATAAAACTCACGCTCAGTTGCGCTCGCTTTCCCACTTTTAAATTTACTCTAAACTCAACACTTTATATCCCATCCCGGTATCTTGATAGATGGGCCCTTGGGAATAATCCAAAGCAAACTTACTCAGCGTGAAGGCAAAAAAGCGAAGCTGTCAAAATCAACCGGTTACTCACCCGAGCAAAGAAAAAACAAATAGATGAGGGTATTTCAAAATCTAGGTTTAATTAAAATAATCTCATCACCCAAACAGAAATAACTCAGAACAATTTTTCCAGACAACCAAATTCTGAAACCAATTGTGGACCGATTAAATCAAATACGAACAATTCAGCTCAAATTAACAATCTAAGAAGATTCAATCGAAAGTAATTAAAAACTGTAGTCCGAAATGAAACCATGATTTAATCCATTAGATTCTTAAATAGAAATTAAAGTAAAATAGTCCGTGGGTCAATCTTTGAGTCCAGCACGATTCTCTTAGTTTTTGCAACAGCTGGCTGCATAAGAACATTTAACAGCCTAGTTGAATCTTTGTGGCGACTTTTTGTTTTGGTCGAAAATCGCATCTGACAAATTTTGTCAGGAAAGCGATCGGAACGAGTCACTGCAAACAAGATTTTGGTATTAATACTGCGACCGCCTTGCTTTGAAGTGAGTGGTTAAAAATTAAAAGTGACTTACCACTAGGTGCGGCCGCCGGTGTCACTACTGCAGTTCCAATATTTTCCAGATTGTCGTTTTCCTTGAAAAAAAACGTGACCTCTAATTTAACTCCAAATATTTCAAATTATGGTGTCTTTCACATTATAACCCTTAACTAGTAGCAAAAACCTTTAGCTCACTCGAATCTTGTATTTTAAGGTATATAATTTATTGAGGACTATAATGGTAAAAACCTATGCCATGTAAATGTTGATAAACTGCTACCACAAGATATACGACACTGAATTTAGAATGATTAACTTACACTTTTGGTAGGTTTCGACAGCTGATCATTTTCATGAAGCAAAGAAGGCGAAAGTAAGCTATGGCTCTCATTCAGGTTTAATCGAATATTATCTAGCTGAGGTTCCGGTGACTCGCATTTTGATGAACAATCCTCGTCTTCTGATTCTTTGTCGTCATTTATGCTTTCAATTTCGGATTTGCTGGTGACTGTTAAGTCTGCTGGTGTTCCTGGCGGCACAGGCAATTGAACAAAACTGTCACAGGAAGGAAATTGAACCTTCGGGTTGCATTGAAATTTGGAAGACAAATTGAGAGGCGTGTTGTTGTTGTCCTTTGCAGCAGCTGCTGCCAAATCGGACACAACATCTTGTACAGATGCGAACGAGGAGTTCGGAAGGCATTCTTTTATAGGAAAGACCATTTTATTTTTGGTTACGGTTGCCAGCATGTTTTCTTTCAGAGAATCGGATTCTTCTTGGAGAGGACTCAAATCACTGTCAACGTCACTTTCACAACGCGAGCTTGCCTCACTTCTAAGTTCTAGATCTTTCGTCTTTGACAACTTCCTCCGCTTCGTATGTCTGTTAGGCGAGCTGCAAGATCTTCGGTTTTTTGAAGACTGTGTGTCCCCTTCCCCTTTCTTATTAGGTGGGCCTAGATATGCCATGGTGAGCGAGCCCAAACATTCTGTCAGTACCTGTTAAAAAGCTATTTATCTTAACAGCAAAATATATATTTTTTTCATTTATACCCAGTACAAAAATAGAAACGCTTAAAATGAGAAAAACAAAATTGCTAGCGTGGCTTTGCAAGTTCTGAATACATTGGGGTGATCAGGAAGCCAGATTTCTGTATCAATTTAGGCAGATGTTAACTTACTTTGTTCATCAGTAAGAGCTCTAGTTGTGAAGAATTTTCATCACCGGAAGTGAAGCTCTGCAGCAGTTTCCGGTCCAGAGTAAAAGAAATGTAAATCTGGTCGTTCGATGTTGTGAAAGAAGCACCGTTGGTTGGATGACATTTAGGCACCATTGTTGTTTGGTTGACACCTCGTATTCACGGGCTGGGAAATTTCGAGGTTTTCGTTTCCACTGTTTTCCAGAGCAAACAAATATATAGTTATCCCAATTTCCTCCGCCGGCCCAAGTGCATCATTTTGCAAAATTGGTTTAGCCAATCAGAAACAAGGAAAATTAAAAACCCAAAAAATGGAAACCTTAAACTGAAACACATAATTTGAGACGTTAAGTTTCCCTTCAGAAACGTAATGTTATGGAGCCGAACAAAAAAAATTTAATAAATCATATTGGCTGAAAGAAATAAACATACATTACTTAAAATTGTTTACAGAAAAATGATAAACTTTCGTTTTACAAAAATCGACAACATGAACATGTGAACATGAAAAAAAAAATCCGGAAGATAGGATAGTTGCCACAATCCTATCTTCGGGAAATTTCACCTACTCACTTGTAATGCCATACAAACTGGAACGGAATGGGACAAAGTGCTACAACTCTACCATAACCCACACATGGTACACCAAACTCAGTGAACTATGAGTGCTCTAATGTCTATTCTATTCTTTGCTTTTGCTTATAGATATGTTTGCTTAATACTGTCTAGTCAAGACGTAATTCAACTTCTCTCTCTCAAAAAGACAAGAGTCAGTTATGCAGGCGAGCCCATAAAATATATAAACCAATTTGTATACCTTGGAATTGTCCTGTCATCGACAGTCTCGTTCAATTGACACCCGAACCATCTTAAATTGAAATACACAAAAGCTACAAATTCATTGAGGTCTAAGGTCGATTTCAATGAGATCAATTTTCAAAAGGCATACAGACTGCTGGAAACAGTTATCAAGCTTGTGGCGACCTGTGGCATCTCTGTTTTTGTCTCATCGGTTGGGGTTCCGCAAAATATATGGCGATATAATGGGGTTTCCGCCCTATATTATGTCATAATCGTCCTTTTTTTCCTCCATTATTTACATAAACGGTCAGGAAAAATAAATAATAGCCATTATGGGGTTTTATTCGTTCCATAATTTTGAATGAAAAATCAAATCAAATTATTCAATTTTACAAAATTTTTGAAACGAGTTTAGCATCCCAAAGCTCTTTTTTGACTTTTAAGAAAAGAGTAGCCCCAAGGTGATGTGGAGTCATGCTTTTTCGAAGCGATCGAAGTGTGATTTTTATTTTCGCGCATTCGGTCCTTCGCGTATGAGGGATTCCACCGCTCACTATTTGTTTTACATAATGGGGTTACGTCATCCCTAAGTTATGGCCCTAATCGAAGGCAGTTCCATACATAATGGCCATACTTTTTGTCCTTTCCCTCCAATATTTATGGCCATAATGGGCCCCTACCATTATTTTTGCGGAAGCCCTGCTCATCGGAGAACCTGTTGAAACCTACTATAGAAGCGTCATTGTTCAGTTCTGGATATAGATTTGTTTAATTAATACTGTTTAGTCAAGACGTAATTCAATTTCTCTCTCTCTCGAAGACAAGAATAGAACAACTTGTTTCTGAAGACGACAAAGAAACTCAAAACACCAAAGGTCAGAATAAACGAGCAAATAGCACTTTTGCTGCGCCAATGGGCTCCACTTTTACATCTGTCAAACAGAAAATTGTCATGATTCAAAATTGTCAAAATAATAGATAAAATAAACATACATTTTCGGAAAAAAATGATAGAGCGCAGAGGAAAATCCAGAGTTTCAGGCTTTCCTTATTTTCAGATGGCTAAAATGTCCTCGAATTCCAACAGCCTCGATCCTGCAGAGCAGGCCAAAGAGTATCTTGACGACCATCAAATATTTTTGCTGTTCCAGGTTGGAGTATGAAGTAAATTTATGAAAAAGTAATTTTTTTGGAATTTTTTTTCTTTACTCTTAAATATTGACGTTAAGAAAGAATTTTCACGGAAATTTAATGCGTGACAATTTTTTTTGTTTATCAAGTTGTTTTTCAGCATCTAATGGCAAAAGTGGTCCACGAGAAACCAGATAACCCAGTGGAATTCATTCAATTTGAGTTGAGAAAATTGAGAGAAGAGCATCCAGAAATATCGAAATACAGATCAGAATTTGACCAACAGCTGAGATGATGACAAGCCTTCCATACATAAAAAATACATTTAAAAAAAAACTGGCGTTTATTATAACTTGATGTAGCGCCTTAGAGCTGCTTGAACTGGCTCAGTTCTTCCTAGTTGAATTAATTTTATATCATATTGGCGATGAATTTCAGTTTTTGTAAAAACTATTTATATTATTGCCCTAAATGAAAAATGAATGATTAGTTTTCTCACGAAAAAAAAATTTGTTTTTGATTATACCTCTGATTTTACTTCAATTACCATCAGTTGTCTTATAGCTTCATGAATTGTCTTAGTAGTTAAATTAACGTCATTCAGTTTTTTCTTTATTTTCTGACCAACGAAGTTTATCAGAATAGGCTAAAATTCAATTCGCTTCAATACTGAAACTAATTGTTAAAACGGAAGGTCAAATTTATCGTAGTCTAAAACAGTTACAACAAGATTCCTCCATCACGTCGTACATTCGAAAAAGATTGGAATTAGATAGATTCGGAACATATAAGAGTAACATATGAATACAAATATGGCCAGTTGCTGTGCAAATAGCCTAGAAAGTTACGAAAACAAAAATCAACAAAAACAGTTTATTTTTATGCAAATTCCATTGTTTTTTGTTCGCGGTGTAATGAGATGATCTGAAAGAAAGCGTAGAACATTATGATATTCGTTTGTAAAATAAAATTAGGTGTAATTAACATCAATTTTTCTCAAAAGCTGAAGCTTCGTATTACTTGTTATTCAACATCAGCGTAGCATTCCAAGCTAGTGAGTACAAAAAGAGACCCAAAAAAATTAAACTTCAATTTCAGAAAACAGTCGAGAAAACACGACTATATGAAAAACCGGTTAATATATTCCTATTCGAGAGCGTATGTTGAGCGTATATTCAATGTGAGGATTCAAATTAAGCGGACAATAGGAACACAAATAAACTTTTATTTTGCAAAATAAGGGCCTAAAAGTGGATAAATTTGGGTTTTTTCTCTCATTTTGGGCCATAAAAACTTGCAGAAACTACCGGGTCATTAGTTGAGCCAATTTGATCAAATTGAGTCTTTTGTGTAGATCAACAAAGTTTAACATGCGCGAAATCTAATAATTTTATAAGAAATATAACTGTTCCGACCTTCGAACAATGGAATATTTGGGCTCGGGGTGGTTTTATTTCTGCAGTCAAATTACGACTTTTTAACTAGCCTTTTTTGATGGTATTTTTTTTATATCAGCCAAAAGATTTTCTTGTCTTGAGATCAATTTGAAAAAGATATTTCAACTGTGATCAATGTTTGTAAAGTTATGGGGTTTTAAGATTGCCAATTTGAGAAATTTGGGATTATTAACGCGCGATATTTTTTTGTGATATAAACGCGTTAGCGGAGATTTAAGCCGTCTTTTCAATTGTTCCAAATTGAATTGAGGCATGCTATTTGATCTATTTAATTTTTGCTATATGCTAAACATATCACTTAATACTTTACGTATTCGGTTTGGGGATGATTTTCCCAAAAAAAATCTTTAAAAAAAACTATTTTTAAAAAATTTTTTTTTCAAAATTTGCATCAATTTTTTAAACGAACACTACCCATTGATCTTAAAAGGCATTTGAAACATTCAGGGCTACACATTTATTGCTTAATTCAGGAATATATGCTGGAGAAACAAAGAAACGCAAAAATATAATTTAAAAAAGGAAAACAACAAACTTTTTTCATAAGAAATAAAAACGAAGGTCTTAATTAGTTTTGGCTCCAGGTTTGTCTCTCCAATCGAAATAACTTTTCGCTTACTACAGAAACAAAATGAGTCCCAATAAATCATTCTTACTCTGTAAATACACATTTTCCACGTTATGATTCGGAGCTCCAACCTTCCATCTTTTTGACAACGTGCAGAAATAAGTTTTCTGAAAATGCAAGTTTGTCAAAATCAACTAAAAGTTCTCAAACTTACTGGTGTACGCACAGTATAAGATTTAGGGGTACACTCCTTCCACTCATGGATTCATGACCCCTTTCCAGCCAAAGGATCTCCTCTTTAGTACGATTACAATCCATTTTTAGATCACGGACTCGAAATTTTTTCTAAAGGCGGCTTAGACGCCAATACTTTTCAACTTTGAGTTAGGAGCAGGCGCAAAAACTTTGTCAAAATGTTTTGTCAATATTTTGTCTGGCGTAAATGTTTTGTAATTTTTGGCCTGCTTTTTTCGACAATTTACCTGCGGTATAGCAAGTTTTTCAAAATAGCTTCCTTTAGAATTTTTTGAGAAAGCTCGGAAAATCAACTTGGTCGACCTAATTGAGAGTAGCCCTCGATAAGTTCTTAGATCCGCGTCTGTATCAGTAGCTTGCAAGATTCAAAATTCCTTCTTCTGAAATAAGTATTCAATAGCTTAACCATCAGTCTATTTCAATTCAAGTTTGCTCAAACTCAGTTCAATTTTGTTCAAATTATATTGTTCCGAGTTTTGAAGTAATAAATATGAGCAGGGTGTTTTTTTCAGACCACAACTCTGGTTCTGCGGGGGATCGATCTCCTGAACTGCATTTGGTCAGTAGAGTGTGGACACCTTCATAGTAACCTGCCATAAATCTGGCTAAAACTGCTCGTTTTGTTATCCCGAGCTAAAGTAGTTCCAAACTGATTTGAGGCAGCTAATTAGTTTCATTGATTCCATAAATGACTCTAATTTCAAGACTCAATTTTTGACTTTAGTCTAAAACTCATAGTATTGCCATTTTTTGATTTACCAAAAACTATTCGAGACCAGTTAAAGGGCATTCGGAACATTCAGGGCTTTGCATTGATACAAACAGTCTTGTTTAGTTTTAGGTTATTTAGTTTCTTTAGTTTCTTGTTTATTTTAAAAAGTCATAATTGAAACATTGAAACCAGCTATTTTTTTTTAGTAAAACGTTTCGAGCAAGTTTTTGAGGAGTTTAACTTTCTTAAACTTTGTGGTTCACATAAGAGGATTCATCGTTATAAAAGTTTTAGATTTAACCCAATAGTTTTGGCGTATTTTATGAATAAAAAAATTGGGCATGAAGTTCTTAAGAGAAAGCACACTCTAATATTTGCTGCTGAAATCTTGAGTAAGGTTGTTCTGATCTATTTTTATCTCATGTCAACTTCCGGTTCCTATTTGTTTCTTCCGGTTTTATAAGGTCAGCTTTGGTCTTCATAAAATTGCTCGTATATCAGGTTAAACCCTGAATATTTGAATTGCCCGAGAAACAGTTTCAATTAGTTTACTGATGACAACTCTGATGAGCAATAGTTTTCGAATTGTCTGTTTTTATCCCAACAGCCAATATAAAAAACGTTTGTTAAATTTTCAGTTGTATAGGGAATTAATATAACCAATTGACCTGCCTCAATTCAATCAAGAAAGACTTTGAGTGCAGGATAGTTTGCTACTAAAATAGTTTGCGTTAATCTTTCAGCATCATTAATAAAAGTATTTCAGCAAATGAGTTTTATACCCTCATCCAGAAAAAAAAACAAAGTGGTAATTTTTAAACTCTCGTATTTGATATATCTCGTGTCGGAGCTTGCGTGAGCGTGAGTATGTATATGTGAGCGTGTTTGTGTGCGCTGGACTGGTCTTGCATTTATCATGCATAGAAAACTATTTGAATTGTCTTGGAGCTGTCTTTCACAAATGATATAACGAAACTAACAAACTTTCAAATTTTGGCAAATTTTTTCAACGATGACGTTTAAAAAATTTGAAATTTTAATTTATTTCTCATTAATCAAGGCATGCAAAAACAAGCCATAGAAAGAAATAAAAGCTAACAGCGTTTGTGAGAAAATTTTTATCCAACCTTAGTGTATTCAGGACTATGTTATGCACAAAAAAAAATTTTGCATACAAAAATTTTTTTTGGAAAATGTTTGTTTGAGTACAAAATTCAATTTGCACTTGAAAAAAAAATTCAAAATTACTTGGAAAATTTTTTGCGTCGCCCTCAAAAAAATGCTAGTCGTACAATTTCCATATATGCGAATTGTATGATAAGCAATTTTTTTCGAAATCAAAAACGTGAGTTTTTCATCACCAGACTGTTTTAATATAATCAAACAGCCGCAGATTTTAGTTTATATCTTTTTTCAACCGTTTTTCGAAATTGTACGAAAGTTGGCCGACAAGCATTTTCCATTTACTTGATGTATGGAAAGGTATGATTAGCATTTTTGGTGTATGGAGGTCGACCCGGGTAAATGCTGAATCTTTTTGGGCGGTAAGCTTGATCAATTAGCTAGCAAAATTGAATGTTTAAACGGTACTCACAACTGGCAGAGTAAGATCTGTGGTTGAGAGGAGGTGGTTAACGTTAGGGAGGGGGTAAAATGTTTATGGGAAGTAAACTGTAGTAGAGGAAACAGGTGAACGGTTGTGGAGGGTGGGTGTGGGAGGAAGGAACGACGTAATTTGGTTAGGGACGATGTAAAAAAAACAAATTTTGAGAAAACAGAAAAAGAAAAAAGAAAAAACCAATTTACAAAAAATTTAAAAAATGTATTCCGAACTAACCAACTGATATCAATTACTAATTGAGGCACTTAGCATGCTGGTAAGGCGTTCACTGGATAGTCAGATCGTGTAATCGGTCCCCTGCCATGGCAAAAATAGTGTGCGAGGACGAGCTCTCACTTAAACTCTAGGTTCAAGTCTACCTCAGCTTGACCAATTTCGGCGGCAATAGCAGTACCATGTCAAAGTTCTAGACGCAAAAAACGGCCTTGAGTCGCAAAAAAGAGTTTCGCTCTACAAAATAGCGAGGACTAGAATGTGGGGAAATAAGAGAAACAGACCATGCTTAGACAGTCTGGATGTTCTCTCATAGATCCTCTGCGCAGCGCAGAAACGACAATTATTAAAGTTATTAATTATTAACCAGTTACTGAAACGTGAAACAAAAAACTGACAAAAAGTATTGCACTATAATTGATTAAAAATTAATTATATCAGGGGCGGATCTAAGACTTTTTTCTAAGATCGACCAATTGATTTTCCGAGCGTTCCCAGAACAATATGATAACTCTAATTTGAGCAAAAAAAAGTTTTGCGCCGCAAGCTAGCTAAAAAAAGGTCAAAATGCCGTTTCTGGCACTGGAAAATTATTACTGAAAAATGCTTTTTTTTTCGGCGCGCGCTCACCTCAAAATCCGTATATACTGGCACCCAAGTCGCCTTTGTAAGTTTTTAGGGTGAGTTGACGAAAAATGGATGTCATAAAAAAATACATGGAGTGGTGGTGAAATGATTATGTCTCCGCCTCTCAATCGAAGGGTCGGATATTCGAGGCCCACCATGATC